ACATTCACCACGCTTACCCTCCCAGAAGGCTATGTGAACAGATTGAAGGATGAAAGTTATCTGAAAAATAAGCTACGTTTACTTACGTAGCACCTGGATACTTTGAAATGAGCAAGCACACTGGTAATGGCTGAGCGTTACAAAAAGCAATCTCCTCTTGCAGTTGCTTTACCCATGCCTTCTGACCTGGAACTGTACGATGTCACTGAGAACAGTCTGCGGGCAAGATGGAATGCAGTGGCCGGAGCATCGGGGTACCTGATCCTCTATGCTCCTCTCACGGAGGGTCTGGCTGGGGATGAAAAAGAGGTAACTACCCGCTGCCACTAGAGTTCTAGAATCTTTGACTTTCTTAAAAGAGACATTTTTACTATAAAAATTCAGTGTATAAAATTTAGAAAATCCACATTAAGCAAGAGGGGAAAGAATTACTTGTAATCGAACCACCTAGAGCAGCGGTTCTCAACCTGTGGGTTGCGACCCCTTTGGCGGTCGAACGACCCTTTCACAGGGGTCGCCTGAGAATCATCCTGCATATCAGATATTTACATTACGATTCATAACAGTAGCAACATTACAGTTATGAAGTAGCAACGAAAATAATTTTATGGTTGGGTCACAACATGAGGAACTGTATTTAAAGGGCCAGAAGGTTGAGAACCACTGATAGAGGGAATAAGTTGTTCACAATTAGCATCAAGTCTTTTTTAATGCATGTTGAACACAACAAATGGAAATGGGGTTTTGTACTCTTCTGTTTTCATTTAGGTTATTGTGACTATCATTCCATACCATTAAATAATATTTTATGTCATCATTTTAAACATCTTTATACCTTTCCATTGTTATTTAATCTCATATTATTGGACAATTAGGTAATTTTCTGTATAAATATGCTTTTGTGACCATTTTTTTAACATTTAATTTTGTATGGTTGATTATTTCCTTGGCATAAAATGCTAGGAATGGAGTTTCTTTTTTCAAAGGGTATGCCAGTCATTATACTAAACATTACCAAATGATTCTAGAGAAATTGTACATACTTTACATTTCTATACGCAGTTCACAAATGACTGTTTCCCCTATATACACTGACTTAGGAAATTTTTTTTTGACATATCTCTTTTTATTCAAATACCGTTCTGATCACTCATGGTTCAAGAATATTCAAATAATAAACCAAAAAAAATCCCAGATGGTAAAGATTGGTTTTCAGATATAGCCAATGATGCTGCGCTTGCCGATGATCTCACCGACATAAAACCACATCCACACCTCAGTGGCCACCAACCCATTCAGCAGAGCTTCCTTAACGGTGAGCTGTTTGAAGCTACCAGTTTGAGCACTCCGGACTATTTTTTTGAAGCTCTGAATAGCTGTAGGGATCTCAGCAGGGGTTGGAGGAATCAGCTCAACCTTGGCATAGTGCCAAAATGTGGCCAATCGAAGCTTCGAGTAAGTCACAGCAGCGTTCACCAGCGCGGGGGGCCTTCTCCGCGAGGTTCCGGACAAACTGGGCCATGGTGCCGGGAGGGACACTGGGAAATTTTTTAAAATTAATTTGCATGGTAGACAAATGTATCTTATCAATGTGGAGTTTTCTGCATTTATTCCATTTTTAATGATGAATCTTGGATTTTTGAATAATTTATTTTGGTCCTCATTTTAATTCCTAGGAAACATAATTACTATAATATAGATGATGGAGGACTTAAGAGGAAGTGTCTATGACGCTTGGGAGTGTCCTGACAGGCAGGTGGATAAGAGAGGGCATTCAGAACTTGTTTAGTTAACGTTGTCTAAAATCTGCCTCTCGTGACAGAAATTTTTAGGGCCAAAAATAAGGTGAATCTGAGTGTCAAGAACAGAGCATTGGTGACATGTGCTGTTTTAGTTGCAAAGTTTAGACAGCTTTTGGCCATTTGGATTTAATATTTATTTGGATTCCCTTTTGGCAGAAGGGAGACTTAAAAATGATGTTGGAAAGATGTTCAGTCTCACTAAGAAAGAGACAAATAAAAAAGAAGGGGATACTAGTTCATATCCAAATCGATTAGCAAACAATTTTTAAAGTCTGATAATAGTACATCTTAGTGAGCATGTGAGGACACAGAATCACTTATGTAAATTGATACAGTTGCCTTGGAGAATAATTTGAAATATTTCATCAAGTGAAAGATATATACAATTTTTGATGTATTTATCATAGGGAAAAATCAATGGAGAAACTTGCTCAGAACAAAATATTGCAAACAACTGACATGTCCAGCAATAGAGGAATGGGAAATAACAGCATATTTATACAAAAGAATATCATAAAGGAATTAAATAATGTCAACTCTGCCCTTGTGTATCAACATGGATAAGTCTGGAAACATAGTAATATTGACAGAGAAAAAAATTGTAAAAATATTAGGTTGTTATAGTTCCATTTATGTATGTTGTTATATACATATATGTTATTATTTACAAACATTTACATAATGTGCATAGAAGTAAAAATAAAGGATCAATAAGCTAAATATACTTTAACATTAGGGTGAAGGTGGTGAGCAGAAAGAATGAGAGAGATCTTCTGTTTTATCTGAATATATTAATTATTTTAGGAATAAAATGTGAAGTTAATATGACAAAATGTTGATACTTATTCATTTGACTAGTGGCTACATCAGGGTATATTATAATATTTCCTCTACACTGATGTTATCTATGTTGAGATGTCTCAAAATTAAAATGTTTAATTTGACAATAATAACCTAGGAAGTTGTATGACTGGACATTGTCTATGGAGATATTTTTCTTCCTTCCAAACCAAAAATAAAACCATCCTATTATACAGTTGTACTCAGTTGTTACATAATTGAGAATGTTGGCTAGCTTGACTCCAAGGGTCATAAAAATCACAAGAGTCAAAAAGCAAATTGCCAACTTGGGCATCAAGGTGGGTTGATCTCTTCTGAATCCTGGAAAAGACTTGCAATCCAGGTGGACAGGCCCCTTTGTTGAACTGGGCAACAAAACTAGCCAGCCCAACTGGGTTTGAAGCAAAGCCTGGGCCTCTAGCCAGGCGACTGGTTAAAATTAGCCAAGTGCTGAAAGATGCCCACTTGGCGCTGCCTCCAGCATGTTGGCCTGGAGCTTACACTCTGTCTAGAGAACATTTCTGATTCAATTCCACCCACACTCTTCTAGGGACCAAATATTCACACTGTTAGTCTCGCTGCAGTTGCCACTTGTCCAGATGTAAGGAGTTATGCTAAAACAGCACGCCCGGGTATGTTTAGTTTTATATGGTTCCATAGCATCTGTTCCTAATATAAAATGATGTGACAATGGACAAATTCTGACCGAAGCCTGTTTGATGAAGGGGTTGTGAGGAAACAGGCTTATTCTATGAAGTCTCACCTTTATCCACTTCGACTCTGACCAGCGTGAATAATACACATTGGCCCACAATCTGATAACGTGTGTTCTTTTCAGATGAAAATTGGAGAGACCCACACCGATATTGAATTGAGGGGGCTGTTGCCCAATACAGAGTACACAGTTACAGTGTATGCTATGTTTGGAGAAGAGGCCAGCGATCCCGTTTCAGGACAAGAAACAACACGTGAGCAGTTCCGTCATTCAGATGAAATGCTGTAACAAAAGCCCAAGTCAACATTGGGATTCTGAATTGGAAAGTCTGGTTTAGGTTGAAACCTCTTAAGAGCTAATTGTAACTTAAGAAAATGTGTACTTGTGGATGTAAAGTACAGAATAGGGAAGATAGTCAATAATATTGTAATAACCGTGTATGGTGCCAGTTGGGTACTAGACTTACCAGGAGGATCACTTCTGAAATTATATAAATGTCCTACCACGATGCTGGACACCTGAAACAAGTATACAATAATATATCATTTCAACTGTAATTGAAACACATTTTAACCAAAAAAGAAAATGCATGTTTTATTTAGGGGAAATAAATATATTTCTTCTAGTGTTATTAGTCTAAGTCATATGGATGCTAGATCTGAATTTTAGCATCCGCTAGCCACCAACATCTTTGTAAATCCAAAGGCTAGATCACAATATAGGGAAAAGAACATGGCCTTTGGAATCAAAGCATCCAAGATGGAAATCTCAGTTCAAGTCATATTTTAACTTGGGCAAGTAATGTAACGTTTTGGAGTCAGTAAAAAGAGGACCAATAGCAGCACAGTTGAAAGAACTTAACACACACTTACTCAATATTTCTTTTACCTCCCACTCTTATAAAAATTAATATTTTTTTCATATAATCTTTGCAGTCCTATTTATCTCAGACTATTATTAAAATTAGTTTTTAATTGAGTAATAATTTTTTTGTTAAGTCTAATTTTGGTTCAAAGTACGGAGTTTATAATCTTTTTAGAAAAGGTAAATAAAAGAAAGGGCAGCGACTCGGGGTCTTGCCCATCCCTGAGCCTTGGGAAGAGGGAACTAGCACAACTTCTACTTTTGTCTTTGAGTTTCTATTTGGGAAACATGTATAGACATTTAATGATAAGGAAAGAAGTTTTCTCCCACATTCATTCTTTGTTAATCGAGGCTGTGTTGTTCTTGCTCTTTGAAGAAAGACAAATGTAATCATAACAGCAAATAATCAAACAACCCACCCCCCAAACACAACTGGGATAGCTCAACACAGAAGGAAAGAAATGGATTATGCCATAGAGCATCTGATATATCAGTTGTCTTAAGTGAACTTTCCCAATGCTCATCTATCTTTCACTCGGAATACTCAATTCTTAATATTAAAAAAAATGTGCACGACGCTTTTTCCACCATTAATAGCTGAATTTTTTATAAAGGTCCTAAAAGCCGATGACCTGGCTACTTGTTCCTGAGACTGGCATGCTTTTTATTAGTTTACTTTTTACTTAATTTTTAATATTTTTATTGAATTTATTGAGGGGTTACATTGGTTAATTAAATTATATGGGTTTCAAGTGTACAATTCTATAATACATCACCTGTATATTGTATTGTGGAGATGGCAAATAGGCATCACCCTCATTTTACACATAGGAGATTATGGAATGGATAAGTAGAGTCAGTTCGCCAGAATCATGTGATAGGTGAATGGGATAGCTAAGATGTCCTGGTTGATCTATGAGGTTGCTTCTTTACACCAGGCTACAATAGCATTGACTGGAGAAGAAAGGCACAGACAATTTACCTAAATCTTATTAATTTCTAAGCATGTGTAATTTATTACTATTCATTTCATGCAAGGAAAAATTTTTTGGTTTTTTTTTTTTGGTTCTAAGTTATTATCTGGGTGAAAATTTTCACTTATTGGTAGTTCAGAAGCCAAAGATGCCGGGTTTTGGGTTTTTTTTTTTTTTTGGTCTTTTTTACAAGTATATTATTTACATTTTTAATTATTTTCTCTTCCATTTACTGCAAAGTGCCCTTAAGTCCACCAAGAAACCTGAGAATCTCCAATGTTGGCTCTAACAGTGCTCGGTTAGCCTGGGACCCGACTTCAAGAAAGGTCACTGGTTATCGAATTGTATATAACAACGCAGATGGCACTGAAATCAATGAGGTAAGCTGTGGAACACAACGTCTGTTTTTCTATGGTTGTGTATTAGTTTTTTTATGACTGTGTAACCCACTATCCCCAAAGGTAGTGGCATAAAATAATGCTAATTATTTTCTTCCACAGTTTCTGTGGGTCAGGAATGGGGCTTGGATGTGTAGTTCTGGCTCCTGAGACAGTGGCTTTCTCATTCCTGTATCTGCTGCCTGGTGTGGGAAGACTGGAGCGGCTGGGAGCTCGAGCAGCTCTCTGTGTTTCTAAATAGACTCTTCCCATGACCCATCTTGCATGTCAGCTTTAGGGGAGCTGGACTTTTTGTGTTGGCTCAGCAGCCCCCAGACATGTGTTCAAAGAGACAGAGGCAGAGCAACAGTATGTGGAAGCTGTGTCACCTTGAGTTACCTCGCAACAGAAGTCACGGACTGTCACCTCCCTCCGTTCATAGGAGATATGACAATTCCCTGATGGATTCAAGATGGGGAGGAACACAGGTGCCATCTATAGCAGAGGCATGTGGGATGGGAGACATCAATTGATGGGGATATCTTTGGAAAATACCATCATCCCCATTGGACTGGGGCGGGGTAGTGTGTATCTTCATAGGAATAGTAAACTAGGAATAATGTCAGTGTTACCCAGTTTATCCCTCTGCTTCTGAGTAAACTGGAATATGAAAAACCCTGGTTCAATGAACTTAAGCTGAAAACGGAATCATTCAAATTTTTATTGGAAGATACTTTTATATAATAGAGCTTAGTGCAATCCATAAAGATATAGTATCTTGTACTCAGGGATTTATACTCTCTAGAAACTCTATCCTTGGCAATAGGTTTTAGAAGAATAGTTAGCAAAGTTATTTTTATTAGTTTTCCTTGTCTTGGTCCAAGAAGCTAAGACAAAGAGGGAAATATGTTGGGTTACATCATTTCTGTTTTCTGATCAAATAAAGCAAGTATTTTCATATGCAGAGACAAACTTTTTCCTGTAATTAAATCCAATTAGTATTTTTCAGAATGCACCCTCATACAGGACATTGGGTAATGAATGGGCAATCACGACACATTTGCTAACAATAAGGAAATACAGTTCAACATCTTCCATTCAGTCTTTATAAATCCTACAGGCAAATAATTCTGAAAAAGCTGGGATCATTTGGAATAGTTGCTTTGCTTTGCTTTCTGAAATAGCAAAAGGATTGAAATAAAAAACACTCAAATGTTGATGATGATGATGAGGGAGAGGGGAAAGAGGAGGAGGGGGAGGAGAACAACAGCTAACACATGTTGAGCGCTTACCCTGAGCCCTGTTATGAGAGTTTTACAGAGAGTACCTAGTGTGTCCCTTATGGGAAAATGCTGCCAATGCATGCCTTGTTAAACCAAGGACAGGAGCCTTCTCAGATCGCATGTGCCGTGACAGCGTTTGGGGAAATGTGCAAACAGGAGGGAGACCTGAAGTGTTGCCATTTGAGTTTTACATGAAAGGTCACAGTTAGACTTTGGGAAGCAATTCCAGTTCCCAACAGCAGTGACTCAACACTGAGGCCCAGAGCGGAGCTCAAGTCCCTCGTTCCTCATCAAGGACTGTTTCTTCGTCTGGCCCAGAGTTTGGCTGAAGTGAGGCTTTTAGCTAGACTGTTTGGAAATGTGTTCTAAAAAATACTTGCATAAAAGTGAGATCCTGGTCATTGGTTATCATCTTCCCAAATTCTCCTACATCTTAAAAGTATTACCCACAAAACCAGTTTCAGAACTTAGTCTAAAACACAAATATGATAATGAACAAAAATAAATGATACTTAAAAGTTTTTATTTGGTGGAAGAAAATGATAGTTAATGCATAAAACATGGTCTGTTAGTATCAAGTTTATTAAATAAATAAATATATGTCTGTTGAAAGATAGCTATTACAATTTAAAACAACAGAAAGCAATATGTAAGTATAGTTTAGAAGAATATGTCCTGAACTCATGTTTTAAAAATGGTTTTGTCTTTTCTGTGAGTTTAAATAATGAATCCCTATTGTAAGTAGTTTATGAGCCTATGGTTTAGAGTCAGAAACACTTGTATTTAAGTCCTATGTACTAGTTGGTTTTCCCATGGGCAAGTTCCTTAAATTTCTGGAGTATCATTTTCCCCATCTTCAATTTAGGGGTAATCATTAGCTACCGTACTAGGTTGCATAAGGATTAAGTGTATGAACGCATGCAAAGCTTGCAGACAGTACTCAGACCAGAGTAAACACTAAATGCTAAGAATGACCTATTCTTTCAGGTCCAGATTCAGAAAAAGTTACTATCTTTTTCCCCCAGTTAACTATTGCTGTATAACTAATATCCTGGCTAAAATAACGACCTATGATTATGCAACTTGGGTAGGGTGCAGCAGGGACAGCTTGTCTGCTCCATGCAGTGTCAGCTGGGATGACTCCCGTCCTCATCTGGGACCTTGACTGGGCCAGAGCTTCCAAGATGACTTCATTTCCGAGTCTGGCATCTCAGCTGGGATGGCTGAAAAGGCTCGGGGTTGGCTCCCCTGTCCAACAGATTGGTCAGGGTTTCAAAAGGATGAAAATAGAAGCTCTTCTCTCCAGGCTTGACACTCTTTTTTTGAGCTGTAATTGATTCTTTAAGAGATGCATATGATTACTGGATTGGTTCTTAGGTTAGAGGAGCCCTTTGTTATTTCTTTTGAAAAGGTTCTTTGTTGCCTCCATCTTAATTTTCATTTACTTATTTTATTCACTCAAAAAACTACAACTCAAATCCAGTAGTGAAAAAGCTGAACAACATTTTACCCTCAAGGAGCTTACAGTCCATGCAGGAAGTAAACAATAAACAAGTATGTAAGGAAATAAAATCATTTCAAGCTGTGCTAAGGGAGGAAACAAACAAGAATATTGGTAGAGAATAACCCTACCAAGATAGGTGCAAAGAGAAACCTCCTCTGAGGAGGTGAAATTTAAGCTTAGTCTTGACAGGTGAGGAAGCCCTAATTTGAAAGACCTACAGAAATAAGGTCCCAGACAACATGAATTGCATATGCAAAGGCCCTGAGGTGAGAAAAACCTTGACCTGATGGAAAGTCAGTGTGACTGGCGTCCAGGGGGCGATGTAAAGTATGATAGGAAAAAACAGCAGCACTCCAGATTAGTCAAGGCCAAGAGGTCATTAAAGGGTGCCTGGTTTTGATTTGGAAGGCAATAGATAGCCAAGGAAGGCTTTAAGTAGGAATGTGACACATTTTATATTTTGGTAAAAGTCACAGTTGACTGCCATGAGCAAATACAGTGAGCTATTTCACCTTCCCCTTAACCTCAGGTAACAACTAGATTAGTTATTGGTAGTATTGTAACCACCAGATCTCAGTGACATTCCTCCATAATGTCTCTTGAACTGAGACATTTTAAGTCAGATATTTTTTGGCAGAGTCTGTTCTCGGGTAAATAGGTTCATTTCTTTTCTTTCTTTTTTTTTTTTGTTCAAGATGAGAAGGTCAGTTTAATAAGTGGAGGATCCAGAACACAAATTCATATCCAAAGAATCTAAAACCTTGCTCAGTTCATGAATTCAAACTATATATTCCTGGCGATAGTTATACTATTTTTTTTAATTGTTTAAAGTATTACATATGTCTCCTTTTCCCCCTCATCAGCCCTTCCCTGGCCACTCCCACCCCCCAGGACAAGCCCCCATGTTCATGTCCATTGGTTATGCTAATATGCATGCATACAAGTCCTGTGGTTGATTTCTTACCCCCTCCTCCCAAATAGGTTCATTTATTCAGCTCCCCAGAGTATCACTAGAGCAAAGGTGCCTTACTGTAAGTACCTACCTTAAAGGGGTTTGTGAGCATCAATTGAGACAATGTATGTACAGTGCTTAGGTGGGAGGCTCCATTTACTTGGTCTCCTATATGTTCCCTGTATGTACCTCAGCAGCCCAAGACCCAGCCTCTCAAAGATAAAGCTGTATCTATTCTTTGTCTGAGTCTGAGGATGACTTTGCTTAGGTCTCTCTCTCCTAGATCCTGCCCTCATTGCCTCCTACTTTATTTTTTTTTCTTCAAGGTCTGTTCTTGTTTCTTCCCCTTTCTAATTCTTCTCTTTCTTTACACCCTTGGTCCTTATTTTCAGAACTTCACCCCTTTGTGTCCTAAAGATATTAATACATATTTTCCCAAAAAAGAGAAAGGGAAATTTAAATTATTGACTATTATCTCTATATATACAAGGCTAATATGCAAAGTGTCCCCTGGAGAGTTCAATTGCTTGCCATGATGTGCGCTGACCACCAAGGGGTGGCATAGAACAAAGGAAGACCCTGGCCAGCGGCTGGCAACCTGAAGGCCCCAATCGGCTTGATCCCCAGCCAAGCCTAGGGACCCTATCTGTGCACGATGTTCGTGCATCGGGCCTCTAGTTTTTAATATGCCCATTTCCTGATTCTGTCCCCGCATGAATCTCTTATAGGAGGTACTGTGTATTACTTAGTTGGGGAGTCAGCAGAGCCCAGACAATGAAGCCAAAAAACAGCTGCTCCTAGCAGACCAACCTGAGAACATTCTATATATATGAGCATTGTGCACTTTACTTTCTATATAGTTAATGAATGGAAATAATATTGGTTGCGAAGATGTCCTTCAAATTAACTGATAGGTAACCTATTGAAGGATATAAGTTTAGAATGTGTATATATAAACTGACTGGTTTTATAATTTAGTAATTTTTTGTAAGTCTTTATAGCTCTGCTGCCAGCCACGTGAACGAAAGACAGTAATAAAATGATTTCTGTTTCCAGCATTTGAGAGTGTCTGATATATCTATTATGCCTCCTCTCCTTTGCAGGTTGAAGTTGATCCTATTACTACATTCCCTCTGAAGGGTTTGACACCCCTCACGGAGTACACTATTGCCATCTCCTCCATCTATGATGAGGGGCAGTCCGAGCCTCTGACTGCGAGTTTTACCACGGGTAAGTAAGTCTTATTCTGGTTTGAAAAGTTTCCAACAGTAACTTTAAATAAACCACGAAATGGATTAGCTTCTTTGATTGTGATCTGAAAGAGATTGCATTTTCATTTGTATTTATTTTATATTACTATTCACAAACCAACATTCTAGGTGACTAGAATGCATACTGGCTAATTATTTTCTACCAAAACAAGGAAAGAGAGAAAAGACCATCAAAATTCCAAAGGTCTCATTTAAATGAAAGTATACATTGTTTTCTTCCTAACCTCACATTGTTTCTTTGGTTCTATTAATGTAAACATTTCACAACTTTTTTGCATTCCTATATGCATATATTACGTTAAACTTCCAAAATTGCTGATATCCAAAAGTTTTTAGTCCACAAAATGAGAGTTATATACTATTTAACCTAATACATTAATTATGAAAATATATTATAGCCAATAGTGTATTTTCATGCAGCCTAAAATATTAATACAACAATATGGGATATTTTAACTACTAAAAAAATAGGGAATGAATGGATTATTTTTCTTTCTTACATATACTCTATAGTCACTCAAAAAATATAAAATATTTTTGGCTCCTGGTGGCCACAATTCTATTGTTGACTTTCTGAACTTATGCAGATTGCACATGCAAACAAATGTGAGGCGGTGAGAAGGTAATTTGGAGAGAGATGAGAATTAAGAGGGCCTGAGAAATAATGGTCACCAAAAGAAGTTCAGTCATTTCACAAAACCTCCCAAGGGCGCTGCATTTGAGTTGTTCTTCCCTTGAAAATAGGTTGAGAATTCGCATTGGTGTCCTGTCAAAGCATGTTTCACGTCTCTGATTTCAAATAACAGAAATCAGTGATTTCCAA